AACATAATCTCCTATATCCTAAGAATCACTTTTGAACAAAGGAAACAGATAGCTCTTAAATAAATCACATTAATACAAATAATCCAAAAGTTTCAAATCTCTTTAAATCAGCTAACAGTGTGTTGAGATTCCCATGCAACTATCTGATTTAGTCAAGATGATTAAAGAGGCCAGGTTGTTCCTAGAATCTTATAGAAAATATAGCTGCAAAATAAACTTGGGATACAAGCTTTTAAACTAGAAAAGTATGTTGAAAGTAGAAAAGGTTAAAAAGGGCAAATACCAAGTAAGTCTGATCCATAATACTTTTAATCATTATAGTTACACTAACTTTTTAAAATTTTTCAGTTTGCTTTATCCATATCCAGTTAATATTTTAATTCCTCTCTATGTAGTGGTGACTTTTTATTTGGTTGATTGGAGTAGTTTTTTTTAATACATCTTTTAGATTTATCTTCTTTCTCACATGTTTTCTTTCTTGCCTTTGTGTGTTTGGGTATTAGTATTTTTGAACAGTTTTTAGTTTACTAATACTGGGTCACACTTTATTTGTAAAAAGTGAGATCATATTTAATAATTTTCAGTGTCTTCAGTATATGGAATCCTATGAATTAATGACTCTATAAATAATCTTAAAACCAGGATTTTGAAACTTTTTAAAGATTATTGAAATAGAAAGATAGGAAATTTTAAAATATTTTGCACTGCGTCTTTCATAAATGTGAATTTGTATATAATTTGCTTATAATGTTTCAGTATAAGCTTTGATGTGGTAGCAATACTATAATTAACTACCACTTGTAGGAAGAGAAGAGGCTCTTGTATAGTTTGCTTGTAAGGAAACCTCACTTCCCCCCCGACCTGGAGTGGTTAAAAGATGGCGTTTCCTGTGTCTGATTACACAGTAGGAAGATGGAGTAGAGGAGGCAGGAACTGCAAGCTCTCAGCATGCTGTAGACAAGGTGATGACTACCTAGAACTTTGCTGGAATGGACCAGTAGCTATTGTCAAAGAGGCTGGTGGCCTTTCTCTGAGGGTTTCTTCAGAGGAACTCAGAGTAAAGCTGTGTATTCTCCAGATAATCCAAGTCAACACTGAGAGACAAGAAAAAGATACAGAGAAGGAAGAATAAGGGGAAGGAAGGAAGGAAGGAAGGAAGGAAGGAAGGAAGGAAGGAAGGAAGGAAGGAAGGAAGGAAGGAAGGAAGGAAGGAAGGAAAGAAGGAAGGAAGGAAGGAAGGGAGGGAGGAAGTATTCATGAAATGATATAATCTGCTTTAACAATTAAAGATTTAAATTTCCTATACTATAAAAGTGGTGCTATTCCTGAGGTAGAAATTTTAAGAAGTGGGTCACACTGGTTTTTAGGCCCACTAGGGTCATGCCTTGGAAGGGGATTAGGAGAGTCCCAACCCTTCTTCTTTCTCTCTCTCTGTTTTGCTCCCTAGCCATAAGGTGAACAGTCTTGCCCACCATGCACTTCTGCTATGAGTCCCTCACCATAGGCCCCAAAGAAGGGGCCACCTGGTTCTGGACTAAAATCCCTAAAACAGAGTGAAATTAAATGTGAGGTGAGATTTTTACCACGATGGGTAGAGTTTGTGAATTCTAAAGTTCACTTAGAATATGTTGAAAAACTCTATACCTTTCTTTTACATTTATGTTTCTGTAAAATTTATTACTTATTCTTCTGTTTCTTTAATTTGTAAGGACTATTGAGACTGTGGCAGTTAATGGATACATCTGAAATCTTCCATGGGCTTAAGTTTCTCCTATTACAAGTTTTAAACTGTGCTGAATTCCAATACTATTAAGAATATTTTTCCATGGAGAATGAAAAGACAGAAGATGGTTAGGAACTGGGTGAGGTGGAAAACATCTGTGACTCCAGCTATTCAGGAGGCAGAGATCAGGAGAATCACAATTTAAGGCCAGCCCAGGCAAAAAGTTAGCAAGAACCCATCTCAATCAACAAGTAGGGTATTGTGACTCGTGTCTGCAGTACCAGCTGTGTGGGAGGCTGTAGGTAAAAGGATTGCAGTCTGAGGCAGGCATGGGCAAAAATGCAAGGCTGTACCTGAAAAATTACTAAAGCAAAAAGCAAAAAAGCTGGGGGTGTGGCTAAAATGGTAAAGTGCCTGTCTGTAAGTACTAGGACCTGAATTCAAACCCCACTACCTCAAGAAAAAGAAAAGAAAAAAATAGTAGACGATTATTTGATTATTAAATACTGATAGGAATGACTATGTAAGAAAAATAAAAGGAACAGAGCTTGTAAATGATCATTCTCACTCTTTTTGTGTCAGTACTCTGCAGATATACCAGTAAGAAATCTATTTTGACTTTTGGATGCTTGATTGTGACTAGGAAAAAATAAGGCAAGGAATGTCTCAAGAAGAGTTATTATTTGAATTGTGAGCTTAGCTTTACTATTTATAGAGCTTGAAATTCACTTAAATAAATTATTTACAATGTAATGAAGAGTGAGTGCCCTTCTGATCCCAGCTTTGGGGAAGTACTGTTTCACATTACTTTGCATTTACTTAACCCATTACCATAAGTGTTCTTTGCCCACTGTCTTCTTTTATAAGTAGGCATACATGATGAAGAGAAACAGTTGTGTGAGAACCCACTAATCTGAATGATTGAACACTCCAGCTATTGAATTGCTCTTCCAAGCAGCCATCCCATTTCTTCTTTCATCCTTAAACAATCCATCCGTTCTGTTTGCCAAGGGATTATGTGCTTGCATACATCAAAAGTGAAAGGATAGAGTCTTGATGAAAGCAGGAATAACAATTAAGAGGGCATAATGAGAAGTGGGGGAAGGTGGGAACTCCTGTGAGAGAACAAGTATTCAGTTTGCACGTAGAGGAAGCTTATTTTATGACGCCAACAGAACTTTCTTGAGTCCATTTCAAGGGATTTAAAGTTCTACTTCCATCAGAACTACCCAGAGGCATTCCTTAAACCCATTACCCACTTTTCCACCACTATAGGTTATTGCTCTCCCACTATGGCTTGCCTTGAATTGCTTCTCTTTTTTTCCTTTCTACAAATGTGCCAACTGGTAAGCATTGCTATACCATTCCTTCTAGAAGAGAAAACTTCCTCCCAATTCCATATAATTCTGAGCGGTCAGTCCTAATAAGAAAGGTCATGTTTTGAAGATAAATTCTGGATAAGATATTTAAACATTTAACCATTTACTACATATGTGACCTTGGATAAATCTAGAGACTTCTTATTACCCATTCTGTCTTCATCCTTAAAATAAAGAAAGTAATATCTATGTTACATCTCAAACATGCTAGCAGAGCAAAGTGATATTTGTGAAATATTCTACATGCACTAGTTGATTATATTTAGGAATTATTTCAACCAAATTCAGCTATTATGATTTGCATTCTGTTGGTCATAACATTTTTTCATGTGCACTTTTCATATTGATTCAACTCAATTAAATGTACATTTTCTTTTTTGATGGTGAAATTATTACACATTGTAGAAAATGTTAAAAGTTCATTCAACTACTAAAATGAAAAGAAGAAAGTTAAGAAGGTGAATATGGTTGACGTACTTTGTATGCAAGAATGAATATAGAATTTTTAAACCTGTTGAAATCACCATAAGAAGGGGCTAATGTAGAAAGACTCAAAATAGAGGGGTTGAACTAATTAAAGACATAATGCATATATACATTGAAATATAACAAAGAAACTCCCTGTATATCCATATTAAACTAACAAAAATGTTGTGTTTTTTTTCTTTTGCAAAATTGGAGAACAAGAGGGCAGAACAGGTCCTGCCTGGGTGTGGAGGTCACTACCAGTGGAAGTGGAGGGTGGGGAAAGGGTATAGGAGGATGAATACAATGCAAGTACTATGTACACATGCATGTAAATGGAAAAATGGTTCCTGCTGAAACTATATCAGGAATGGTGGGAGTGGGGATAAAGGAGAATGATGGAGGGGTGAATTTGACTATGATGCACTTGATATCTTGTAAGAATTTTTGTAAATGCCACGCTATACCCATTCCCAGTGCAACAATAAAAATATTAAGGAGTAAAGCAAAGAAAATTAAGCATAATGTTATAATCAAGAAAGAACTAAACCAAGAAATAATGACATCAACATTTAAATTTTATACTATACAAAAATATACTAGCATTTCATATATGTATGTATATGTGTATATTTTATATGCTACTTTGTTCCCTCATCAACATATTCTGTGCATATTCCTAGTGCACATTTTCATTTTCCGATCTTCAAGTGAAGCCATAGTATTTTGATTTGGTTTGAGTCTCATTAAGCACTTAGTACTGTGCCTCTAGTATAATAATGTTCAATAAATGTCTTTAAACACTTTGATTGTGTAAATATAAAATTAAGTGAAACAGAACTTCTCTCTTAAAAGACTACTCTGTGTTCTTACTAATGGCTTGAAACCTTTATGTGTGACACTGACTTGCTTTTCCTTTTCCATTCCTTCCCTGTTAGTTTGTTGCCCAGCCGAATTGTCAACAACTTCTTGCCTCTCGGTGGTACGATGAGTTCCCAGGCTGGAGGAGAAGACACTGGGCAGTGAAGATGGTGACCTGTTTCATAATAGGACTTCTTTTTCCTGTCTTCTCTGTGTGCTACCTGATAGCTCCTAAAAGCCCACTTGGACTGTTCATCAGAAAGCCATTTATCAAGTTTATCTGCCACACAGCCTCCTATTTGACCTTTTTGTTCCTGCTGCTGCTTGCCTCTCAGCACATCGACAGGTCAGACTTGAACAGACAAGGTCCACCACCAACCATCGTGGAGTGGATGATATTACCATGGGTCCTGGGTAAATGTGTTACTATAGAAAATATAATAAAACGTGTTACTGCCATGGAATTTTGTTGCTCACAAAATAATATTTATTAATGTTTGGGACATAAGAATGTCCATGGTACCTCCAACACTTAATCCCCAAAGCTAAAAGAATATTTTGTAAGCTGTGGTGGATTTGCTCCCAAATGCAGACCATGAAAGGTGACCTTAAGTTTTAGAACTCCAAATTTTAATGAACTTATAACCTACAAATAACTCTTTGGGCCTGTTTGTCTTTTAAAGTTTTACAATATGTCTCATGGACCATGTATAATCATATAAATTTTCTTAATAGAAATGATAAATGACAAGTCTAAATCACTCTGAAGAATTAGTGATGCTACCATAAAGTAACTGCAACCATTTAAAAATCTTAATTCATTTATGTGTATCTTTGAAATTTCTAGTTAGTCAAAATAATAAGGAATGAAACTCCATCTTCCAACTCTGTGTGCCCTTACCATGGAGAAAAATTATTTAGATCTGCTGCATATAATAATCAGGTAGAAATTTAGCGAAAACATTGTTTCCCTTTCTTCTTGTTATTGTAGCCATGGTTGATATTTATATTTTAGTTGTGATTTTCTGTATCCTACCATTGTTTGCTGATAAATCCCATTTTCTCCATTTAGATCATCATTTTAAACCTCTGTGATATCATACTCATCTCTTAGAAAATATATGACAGATTACATGATTCACTATCTCAGGAGATCAGTTTGGCTTAACTTCAAAAGTACTGAGGAGACTGTAAAATGAGGGAAAGCTAGAGTAGGAAAAAAAAAGTAAAAGAAAAAGCCTGTCTGAATCTGAGATAGAACAAATTTTTAATTCTGAAGATTATAAATACACTTAAGTAATGACAATAAGAAAAGTTCATAGTAACAAGATTTTCTGTTTCACATTTGTTACTATTTTTTTCTTTTATTTTTTTTTCATTTTTCTTTTATTATTCATATGTGCATACAAGGCTTGGTTCATTTCTCCCCCCTGCCCCCACCCCCTCCCTTACCACCTACCCCCCGTCCCTTCAATACCCAGCAGAAACTATTTTGCCCTTATTTCTAATTTTGTTGTAGAGAGAGTATAAGCAATAATAGGATGGAACAAGGGTTTTTGCTGGTTGAGATAAGGATAGCTATACAGGGCATTGACTCACATTGATTTCCTGTGCGTGGGTGTTACCTTCTAGGTTAATTCTTTTTGATCAACATACGAAAATCAATAAACGTAATAAACCACATTAACAGAAGCAAAGACAAAAACCATTTAATCATCTCAATAGATGCAAAAAAGCCTTTGATAAGATCCAACATCATTTCATGATAAAAGCTCTAAGAAAACTAGGAATAGAAGGAAAGTTCCTCAACATTATAAAAGCTATATATGACAAACCTACAGCCAGCATTATACTCAACGGAGAAAAACTAAAACCATTCCCTCTAAAATCAGGAACCAGACAAGGATGCCCACTATCTCCACTCCTATTCAATATAGTACTGGAATTCCTAGCCAGAGCAATTAGGCAAGAAGAAGGAATAAAAGGAATACAAATAGGTAAAGGAACTGTCAAAATATCCCTATTTACAGACGACATGATCCTATACCTTAAAGACCCAAAAAACTCTACTTGTTACTAATTTTTTAAAGAAAATCTTCTCAAGTGAACTTTAGATCAGAGTAGGTTCTAGTTAATCTGAAGTATATAAAATGTGATCTTGCTTAAGTTAGAAGGGAAGTTGAGATCATCCATAAGTTTCTTTTTGAATAAAATAATTATGACATTACAGTTCATATTAGAGATAAAATTACTCTTCTGTTTCCACTTACATGAACTACTTTACATGAGGGACATGTTTTTATGTGAGTTTTCTTTATAGGAAATTTATTTGAAACAGTTCTTACAAAAGAGTTTATGGGGTTGTTTTCTATTGTGGAGAATCTGCATTGAATATCAGAAAATCCTGACATCCCAAATGGAGTACACACAGAAAAATGTTTTAGGAAAAATTCAGCATAAGCACACATAGAATTTCTGGTCTTTATGCACTCCGTAGCAATGTGTTAGGACTTTCATTGCAGTACATCAGAGTAGTGTGACTGTGATATAAAAAAACAACAACAAAACAAACAAAACAGCCTTTAGCCTCATGAAACATAACTTTTACTGGAGCAAACTGGTAATAAACAAACAAGTCCATGGTCATAATAACAGATAATAGTAAATAATGTAGAAAATGGAAGTTCGAAACTTTCCATAACTTACATAATTAAAAGTCATTGACAACCTCCAACATGTTAATTTTGTAACAAAGTACTCCTTGAAAGTTGCCTGAGAAAAACCACATCTAGACTACAGACACTTGGTTAATAATGTATAGATTTAACTATGAGAATTATAATTCCAGCAGAGAGATGTATCTGCTGAAGGCAACATTTTCTCAAGATACTCTGACTGTAGAGAGTTAATTTATCTGGGAATTTTTAGGGTGAAAAGATATTTCCTAGAATGAGAAAAAAAATGCATGTGAATGATTATCTTGCTTAAGCAGTAGGGCATGAGAAAAAGAATGTTTATATATCAATTAGATCTATCAAAACAGTTATATTGTTCAGAAATTCTAGTGAACTATGAGTGCCTCAGAGCTAAGACTGAGTTCTAAGTGCTCAAATAGATTTGTGATTATGTGGCGGTCCTCTGTATAACAGTGCTGCTGTGGGAGAAAAAAAAAAAACTGGATAGGAATACATGTACTAGGTTAGGTTCTACCTCTAAGAGACTATTAAATTATGGACAGTGACAAACTCAGGATTTTCAGTGTCCTATCTATAAAATGAAAGTTTAAGAGTGCATGAGATCTCAAGTTCTACTAAGTCCTACCATCATTAGAAGAAAAAAAAGTGCTATTTGTTGGGGGTGGTGGAGATGTGAGGTTAGGAATGTTTTAACCTATTATCAAAAGTGTATAGACAGAAAGGCTTGGTCTGATCTGATACCTATATTAATGAATCATCAATATTTCTTTACTTCCTAATTCATAGGTATTAAGTTTCCAGATTTATACTAATAAGACTGAAACACTTGTGGAAACAGATAGGGCCTTTCAGAGTGACCCTATAATGCTAATTTCACATTGAGAAAAAAGGATTCTGTTAATGTTTAACTCAAGTTGTACCAAATTGACTTCAATTTTCAACCCATGTAACCTCTGTGTTGTATAAAGTGATACCTCTTTATTTGTACTAAATTTACCTTTCATGCATTTTCAGAGGGTATTCCTCAGGCCTGGTACCTCCTGTGGAGAAATACTCACCTTTATTCCTCCAAACAGGAGGCATATTTACCCCAGCAAAAAGACTTTGCTCAATGAAACAAACAACTCCATATTTATTATCCTAGGTTTTCACTCCTTTTAATAGAAAGGTTCTCTAATTTTAAAGCTTATCTTTTCTAATCAATCCTTCTTTCTCCAGAAGTATGAGTTGTTACCTTGTTTCACACATAATAACTGTACTCAGCCTCAAGTGGAATTCAGATCCAAATACTTGCCATTCAGTACAATTCAGAATAATAATTCTATGTTCCTTTCAATATCTTTCCTTATGAAGCTTGACATTGTGTTGACTATTAAAATTGAAATCTATTGAGTATGATGCCTTTAGAAAGCAGTATAGAACGGCTCTTCTACCTCTCTGCAGTAGCTTCATTTATAAGTTGTAATTCGTCATCCTTTAGAATTACTTTCAGACTTGCTTGTATTGAAGGTTATTGAACCTTCTTTTGTTTCATCAAACAACGTCAAGACATCTTCCAGCAAATATTTGTAGTCAAGATGACTTTTTAGCATATAAAAATCCAAATGTCTCATATAGGTATCAAGTTATGATTCTGGTCATCCTGACCTACAAAAACCAAATCATAGATAAATCTGTTAGACTGCTCCAAAAAACAGGTGATGCCAGATATATAAATACCAATGTACTTCTCAAACTGTGCAATTACTCATTTAAATTAGAGAAAAAGTAAAACACTGGTATCACCAAATATTCAAATTGGTCAATGACAGAGATGTACTTTGTAGAATCTAAAATGGAAATTTTCACTTGAAAGAGTGAATAATGGATTAGAAGAAGTCTGGGGCCAGGAGAGAAGACTTGTTCTACTGATTCCGACTCTTAACTTATTCAGGGTTCTGTTTTTAACATATAAGACTGGGATATGAAATGGGTAGAATATTCATATGAGAAATTCTATTTTATAAAAAGTTACATGTAAACGAAAAAAGCAATTCTATTTTATAAAAATTTATATGTAAATTAGAAAAGCAAGTTATATGTGTAATGTGTTTAGCAGCAGTTTCATCTCAAGTAGAAGTTATTGGTTTCTGAAGATATTGTTGAACAAAATATGGAAAAAGGGAAAAACCTTTGTATCCTAGTTTTTTTTTTTTTTTTGAGACCTTGTTTTTAATTTTGTATATGGACACATATCCAGAAGTCAAATTGATGGATCATGGTAATTCTATGTAAAATTTTTTTTTTCATTTTTCTTTTATTATTCATATGTGCATACAAGGCTTGGTTTATTTCTCCCCCCTGCCCCCACTCCCTCCCTTACCACCCACTCCACCCCCTCCCGCTCCCCCCACTCAATACCCAGCAGAAACTATTTTGCCCTTATCTCTAATTTTGTTGTAGAGAGAGTATAAGCAATAATAGGAAGGAACAAGGGGTTTTGCTGGTTGAGATAAAGATAGCTATACAGGGCATTGACTCACATTGATTTCCTGTGCGTGGGTGTTACCTTCTAGGTTAATTCTTTTGATCTAAGCTTTTCTCTAGTACCTGTCCCCTTTTCCTATTGGCCTCAGTTGCTTTAAGTATCTGCTTTAGTTTCTCTGCATTAAGGGCAACAAATGCTAGCTAGTTTTTTAGGTGTCTTACCTATCCTCACCCCTCCCTTGTGTGCTCTCG